CCTCGTGGGTAGGCTTGAATGCCCTCTCTCCCAGTCCGGAAGGGTCTTCCAGCCCCACTGATCCCGGCTGTGCAGCAGCCGGAGCCCCTTCGTTCCCCTGTGGGCCCTTCTCTAGTAGCTCTCCATGGGCCTGGGCAGCCTGTCTGATTGCCTCACTGCCTGCTCCTTCAGGACTCCCTCTGAAACCTCTTGTTTTTGAGGCAGCAGCCTCCCTGCCTCGCACCCGTTTGGTTCTTGGGAGGAGAAAAACTCTTTGGAGCAGGAGGAAAGTTTTAAGGGGATCAAGACTAACTGATCCCCTTAAAAACAGCAACGGGCCTCTGCTTTGCACCTGAAGGACAAAAGTAGGTTAGATCTGGTTTTAAGGAGCCCAGAGTGGCCAGCAGCCTTTTTAGGAAACACATCCTTGGCTTTAAATTGATGTGGTGTAATAAAAATCCAGCATCATATCAAGAGGCATTGAGTCACGGCTTTGTTCTGCGCTCCACCACGCGTTGATGTCAGCTGGACCTGCTGATTTGCTTATTTGTTCTGATCATTTTAGAGGTAAGGTCATCCCTGTTGTGTCTCTTGAGGACTCTTTCCTGGAGAAACCTGTGCTCTGGTATCTCCCGTTACTTGTGATGACAATGATACAAAATCCTCATGAGTTCACGTTTCTTGTGTTTTTTAAAGACATCATTCCCAAATGGGCACTCGCTCGATTCTGTGACAGCTCAAGCAAATGGGTCACAGCGAAAAATCGGTTGGATTGAGTTCCTGGAGTGAAAACTCTGCTGACGTGACTGGAAGCTGTGGAATAGAAAAGACTCTGGTATATGCTTAATCTCTACCAGGTTAACCATGGCAAATTGGCAGAGTTTGGCTCAGAAATTGGTGCTATTTTGATAATGTTGCTACATGGGTCTTTTCAGGGAGGTTATGAAAATTGGTAGTACTTTACAGCCCTCTATAAAGTCCATTGCCACGATAAAGGTCTGGTCCTGAAAGAGCTTTTACTTTCTTGGTTAGTTCTTCCTCTAAAATGTTTATAATTTCAGTAGAGTTGTTCGTCTGCTGAAGTGATTGCAAGATTGGTCCTCCGCAGAATTTAGCAGAGTTTCTTGCTTACTTGCCCTCTGTGTGGTGATGGTCCTCGGAGCAGTGCCAGGCTGCTCTGAAGTGGGATCGGTTTTCTTTAAATTGCAAGGGGGCTTGTCCAGGCACTTCTTTATAGATAAGCATTTGTTACTTACTGTACCTTTTACTGCTTGCCTTGCCTTCCCCATATAGTTTAATTTATAGGAATGTGGCTTTACGCTTCTGTACTTCATGTCCTTATAAAAATAGTATAAAACAATGCAAATTGAAGTACATACACTGAACTTTTTTGTGATATCGTTTGGAAGGAACTTGGCGTAGGATTTCTAAAACATCTGTATTGTTAATGGAGGAGCTGTACTGAGCCTGTTCCTAAATGGCATCTTGAAGCAGTTATGCTTTAAATTTGGATTCTGGAACCAAACCATTTTATAAGCATGTACCTGTAAATTTTGAATTCCTCCTCTGGAGCAGAAAGCTGTTGTATTTATGTGTTTTTAGTCAAGCTTTGTATTTTCTGAATGAAGATCAAATGAGAAACTGCTTGCTTACTCATACACTTCATGGCCATTCTTGGCTAGATCATTGAGACTGTGTTTTGTTGGGTTTTTTTACTCTGTGTTCTCTTGGCATTGTGACAAGACATTTACTTTAGCTACCCATAATAGGCAAAGTGCACATTGTCATTATAAATTCATGAACACTGGATATTTCTGGGTGTACGATGTGGGTTAGTTGTAATAAAGGAGGGTCAACTTGGGATAGGGGATGAAAATGGTAATCTTTTCTCTCTTCTAACTCTCTTGAATTTGAGATCACAAATGGATTTAAAATGTACTTTAAGGTTACACAGAACTGCTCAGTTCCCTCTGCCTTTTATATGTATTTCACCTTTTATACTTGTAACCAGAATTTTTTTTTTTTTTTTTTTAAAGGATCCCCCTGCCCCCCCCCAACAGACACACACACACACACACACAGACACACACACACACACACACACACACAGAGCTTCTTACACCGTGATGCCAGAGAGCAACAAAAAGTTAAAATTGGGGAGGAGTATAAAAAGGGGCCTTGATGGGAGAAAACAAGAATATAATCAGAATATATTGGGGTTTTTTTACCTTCTCTATTCTAGCATGCGCACACGCATGTTATTTTGATAAGTCTTTACACGCCCCCTCTTAATCTTAATATTTTATGACTGAAATTACAAACAAATGTATATACAGCTGAATTTTATAGCTCATAAAAAGAACAAATGGGTACAACATGTTTTAGTGGGAAGCTGTTGATGCTTGGGCAGATATTTTGTCAAGTCTTAAAACTAGTCATTTTTAACTTCTACTGGCCATTTCTAGTGGCCATTTCAGTATTGATGTCTGTTCTCGTAAAAAGTTGATCGTTTGGGGATTTATTTGAATTGTCCTGTTCTCTGGAGTAGGGCTCATGTTTCTTTTTGCTCAGAAATAGAAATTCCCTATCTTACAACTCTTAAAAAAAAAAAGTAACAGTGAATACTCTAGATTAGAAATAAGTTTAATGTAACTAGACTGCAGAGTACTTAAACTAATATTGTTGTCAGTTTTCTAATAGGAAACCTATCTAGAAGCATACTCCAGTATGGGAAGGAGTCTTACTTTTTAAGTGTAAAGAAGGTGGAATAACATTTCATATGTTTCCTTTTTCTTAACATTCCTGTCTGGGAAAATGTAAGCTATGCAAAGCTGAGGGTTCATCTAAAACAGTTGTATATTGAAAACGTACTTTTATACCTTCCTGGCAAACATACGGTGGTGGGGTGGGAAGTATGTAAATGTTGGATTTGAGCCTGTAACTCTTGCTCCTTGAACTGGATGTGGAATATAGTACTTCTGACTACTACTTGCAGTAACTTTTTGTAAAATAAGTATTAGCTTAGTCTTCCCCCTGCTTCACGTTGTGAAGGTGATGGGGTATAGCTGTCGTAAAATGCTAAGGTTATACAATGACTTCTGGATAAAATTTGGAAAGTCTCTCTCTCAAACTTTTGTTCTTCCCATATATTGTTGTCGCTTAGAGATGGGGACTGTTGTCTTCTGTGTTTGTGCATGCACCTGTGTGCTCCTACTGTGCTGCAAATAATGCTAGGATACAAAAGCAAATTGGTATTTAGATCATATTGTCTTTTAAAGTAACACTTCTTAAAACAGGACTTGTGTGTAGGGAGGTTGATGTTTCTCCCAAACATATGCATTGTGAAAACCAGTTTCCAGTTGGTGTTTACATGCTCTTTTCCCAAGTTTTCAACACCTGCTGTTGAATAGCTGATAACTTCCCCTATTCAGTGCAGTTTTGAAAATCAGTATGTGTTTTTTTGGGGGGGGGGTTTTCCTAGCTCATGTCTCCAAGTAAGCATGGTTGGCTTTTTTTTTCTGTAGTATACTATTATGTAATATGCATTGATTCAGGGTTTTCAAATTCTAGTTCTAATTCCAGTGAAGCATGTTTTCCCTTTGGGGAAGCATACAAATTCTAACGTAGGTTCAGCCCAGGGGCCCTGGTGCTGTCTTGTTTCCCTTCCCACAAAAGTTGATTAGCGGTCAGTGTTATGTTTAGGGACCTACCTAAGTTGCAGCAAGACCACAGGTTTTTTGTAGCCAGCTCACAGTGTGCAGAACTGATTTTTGCAGGCGTTTTGTAGTGGTCCTGCCCCTCACCACTGATTGGAGGGACCCTGGTGGCCTTGCTCCTCAGCACTGATTGGTGAGAGGAAAGGGTGCCTTTACTCAGTCTACATTATTACCGCTTTCTTTGCCCCTAACCACTGATTGGCAGAGGGTACCTTCACTGAGTATGTCTCACTACTGATTGTTTTTTTTGGTTGATTTCATGGGAAATCGCAGCCAATGTCGGATTTCCCAGCAATCGTGGACAATACTGTTTTTAGCAGTTTCTGTGAAATCTGCAAAACTGCAATTTAGGTAGGTTCTTAGTTACATTCAAGAGTAATATCAGATGCACAGTCCATCTTGGTGGGTTTGAGAGCAAGACAGTAATGTTGAAAGAACAGAGGAGGAGACGAGGGATACAGATTTCCTTGCTGGGGTTTTAGGTAATACTCACTTTCCAGAAGCTAAATGAACAAGTGAGGTGAAACTTGTTTGCTATAGTTGTGCAAACTGTAATGTAAATTTAATGCCTGTGTTTTAGCACTTACTGTGATATTTTTTTTCTTTGAACTATTATATTGCTTGGCTATTAGAGCTGACAACTGTACGTTTGAGCAGGTGTAGGGTTTCTCACTGTCTGTAGCAAGGACTACTGAAACTGTGGCTATGGCATTGCCCAAGAATGCAAACAATCTAAGTTTTATGGCCTGTATTTTTCCTTTCTTGAGCAGGGTGTGACTTTGATCTCTGTTTCATTCAACTCACTTCCTGGAGCATAAGGTTATTTCTTCAAAGCTGTCAGTTACCTTCTGCCTTGTTCCCCTCACATGAATAGGACTTACCAAAAAAACTAACACCTTTAACCAGCTCATCATGAAAAGCGTTGAAAGACTAAATGGGAGAGTCGGTTGTTGACTGATTAATTTAAGCATGGAATTGCAACATCGTATTGATATAATCTGGAGGAGAAATGCTTGGCTCATACTTGGCAGGCATTAGTGTTTTACATTACTTACCTGCTATTGTCTTCATGAAAATTAAGATATATTTGGGTCACCTCAGCCTTTGACAAAGGCAGTTTGTATCCCTGCAGTGTTTTCTGAACTTTCTTTTTTTTTTCTCTCTCCAGAAAATTTCTCAAGGGAGAAAGAGGGAAGAGACTGTCATAAGTAACCTTAAGCTTGATACCGTTTAGTGTCTAGAAAAAAATATGATGAGTTGTACTCTAGAATACTTGATACCTCTTTGCCTTCTGTTTTCTGCTTAGGTGACTGCCAGCTACAAACACCATGTCGAATCCAGAAGTGCACCACAGACTTTGTATCATTAACGTCACATCTGAACCCTGCAATCGATGGCTTTGATTTGGAGTTCTGCAAGGCCCTGCGGGCATATGCAGCCTGCACCTATCGTAATTCCAAAGTCTGTCGTGGAAACCTAGTCTACCATTCTGCTGTGCTAGGGATCAGTGACCTCATGAGCCAGAGAAACTGCTCCAAGGATGGGCCGACGTCCTCTACTAACCCTGAAGTTACCCACGATCCCTGCAATTATAGTAGTCGTACAGGAGCCAGAGAACATCGGGGAGGGGAGCAAACTCCTCCTGTCTACCTTTTTTGTGGTTTGTTTGGTGATCCCCACCTTAGGACTTTTAAGGATCACTTTCAGACATGCAAGGTGGAAGGGGCCTGGCCTCTGATAGACAATAACTACTTATCAGTGCAAGTGACAAATGTGCCTGTGGTCCCAGGATCCAGTGCTACTGCTACAAATAAGGTATGAGCTATACTTTTGTTCTTCCCAACCCTTCCCACCCCCTTCCCCTGCCCCCGCAACTATTTATATTTCTAAATGCTGTGTGTGAAAAATGCAGGGTTTTTGGTTGTAGCCATGTTGGTCTAAGGACATAGGCAGGCAAGGTTCTTTGGGTAAATGTGATATCTTTTATTAGACCTGCTGAGTAGTTGGTACAAAGTTCTTTGCAAGCTTTCAGGCATAAGCACCCTTCTTCAGGTATAGGGAGATGCTGCTGTACTGAGATCTCCAAGGAATGACAGAAGTGTGTGAAACCTTGTGCTATGAAGACTGAAACGCTTAATTTTCAAATTTAAGGGCAATAGTAGAATCTTATGCAATAGCTTGCTAACAAACTGAAAACCAGGGGTTTACATTAAAAAAAAAAAAAAAAAAAAGAATTGGCTTTTTGGGGTGGGGTGGGGTGCGGTGGGAGGAGCTCTTAAATGAAAAGGTATCTCTGGCTTACTCAACTTGTAAAGAGGGGATATGATATTAATTCAGCCATAGGTGGAACTGGATGGTGCTGAAGAATTCCGGTTTGCTGTAGTGTTGAGTGTATGGAGCGGGGGGAGTGTGTTTATTTTTAGATGTACTGCATTAATTCCCCAAACTGCACAGTTATAAGCAAAGCAATATTTCCATGGAGTCTAGCACAAACAGAAAGGTTCCAAAGAATACAAACCTCTTAACAAAGACTAAGGAGAACAAGAGAGTAAAACTTTGAAGGGGAAGAAGGATTGAAGTGGATATCTTTGTCCCATGACCTCGTGGCAGTGACTTGATAATTTTGTATCTCAGAAATGTGTGTCCCCAAATTGTTAAGTGATCCTTAGTATGGCAATTATTCCAGCTGATGGAGGGAAATGTTTCTGCATTTGACAACATGTTGAATAGGCAGTTTCACTCTTGGTTTTATCATTCATGCCCTTCCTTCATCCCCAATGAAGGTGTTTATAGTAGCCGTAAGGGCAGCAAGCAGGTGTGTATCCAGAGAAAAAAGAGGGATGGGCCTTGGCATGTTTTGATGTTGCTTTTTGATCTATCCCAAATGTCCAGGGGAGTAATTGGGCTTAAATCTTGAGTGGTGTATCAAAAAAGGTCTTCTGAGACTAATCAGCTGAAAACAGTTCAAGCTGACATACCCCTTTAACAGTGGTGATTTTCAATACTAACACATTGATAATGTATGAGGAAACACCTAAATGATGCTGTACCCTGCCTGAGTACCAATATCAGTCTGATCTTGAGGCTTTCTCATTACTGTTGCTAGATACAGAGCTGATCTAGTTCTGCAAACCTAACCCGGAAGCAACTGTGCAGTTGAAAAACAATCTTGTTGTTGAGTACTGGATCCTTGTTGTGTTCTGATAGGGCATCTAATGCTCACAGTATTGTCAGTGAGACGGATCTCTTGGTTGGGTAGTAATGGAACTAATTTTAGACAGGCTCTTAAGAATTCAAAAATTGGGATGCTTTTAAGTTAGGCTTGAGCCCAGAACACAATCTGCATTCCAAAATGAATCCTGAAAGAGGCATGTTTTCCCTCATCGGCTTCTCAAAATAAACTTGGAAACTTTAAAAAAAAAAAAAAAAAAAAAAAGCAGTTTACTGAAGCTATTTCTTCAAGACGTTTAAAATTAGGAACACAAGAAGTAGTAATGCTTCAATGTGAAAAGGCAGTTGTGTTCAAAATTTTGCCAAGTGACTATACAAAATATCCTTACCAGAGGGAGGTTTTCCTGATAGGGTTAGGATGAAAAATGGAGTGTGTGTGTGTGCATGCAGTCAAGTTGTGGCTCTGAGCCTTCCTTTCCTTCTCATGTCCTCATGTTTTAGCAAAGTATTTAGCAACATTGGCAGATTCATTAAACAGGGCTGGGCTGTGATCCCTTCTGTTACGGCCTCAAACTTGCGACTTCTGGGCTGCTAACCGTGTGCATTTGTGCCTGTGCCACCCCAGCCCTTCAAGCTCTGAGCAATATTGTTGCTTTTAGTTTGTTGTTAAAGGCTGCTCTAACTTGTTCTGATGGAAGTTTTATGTTCATAAGCAAAATGAGCAAGTGGATTTGAGAGAATAAAAATCTGGAGTCGAAGCGCTAGTTTACATGATGTATTAGTGATTACATTACGTCAACTTGAAAGTGCCCCCTCCCACCTTCCCCCATCTTTTTTTAACTATTTTCAGTTTTTAACATTAAGATTATTCATCTCTGTCTGAGCACCTGCAGGCCAGTTAAACATGCAGAAGCAATTAAAGTGGTGAGGTTCCTTTTAGAACATCTGAAGGACTGTTATTGGCACCAGTGACCACGTTAGTTGCTGTGCAATACTTGAGGTTTTTCTTTCCTTGCCAGGCAATCAAACTCTTATCGGAACACCTCTTTGTGGGAACTGAAGGCTGAGTTCCTGCTGCGCTAGAAGCTTTGCAAGATGTATGTTGCAATCTGTCTAATGCATCATTCTGAGCCTTAGATTTCTTTACTAAGCAGACTCTCTGAAAGAGAGAGAAAAGGTGTATTAAATTATCCTGTCAGTGCAGGATTAATCCCTAGAAGATGTTTTCTGTTGTCATGTTGCATCTGGTTTCTGCCACTACTTTGTGGTAGCATGTCTTCTTATCATACTATTCTCAGGTTTAGTGTTGGGTGTTGTTTAAAGGGCTTCTTGGGTTAATAACTTCAAAACTGATTACCAATGGTGGTGATTTGGATTAATCCATTTTAAACCAATTTTGGATTGTTTAGACTTTGCTCTGCAGTTCTCTGAACCATGAACAGAAGCAAGCCCATTTCTCACCAATGTGACTTCCAGAACCTCATGCTTTAGAAAAGTTGTGTAGTATTGTGGGTTGTAAACACTATATATGAATAACCACTATATAGAGGTTGTTTTCATTGGTCTTACTATTCAAAAACTCATCTTCAGCCAAATTCTACATGAGATCAAATGCCACTTGGTGGGGTGTCTTGCTTCCCCTTCACAGGGAATGAACAAATGAATGAAAATTCAAGGCATAGGCTGAAAGTTTCCTCTACGTGTCTCTCTTGAGGAGAAAGATATGGGGCTTTGAGAATTTGGGTAGATCTGGGGGAATGATTAACTCCTTCCATGTTCAGCTTCTTGTTAGAATAGTTTCCTTAAGGGCTAATGTAACACCATTGGCTGTGTCCATTACCTTTTTCCACCTCAATAGATAGGTAGGGCATGCATGGCTTTGGTCATCAATAACTACTTTTAAATTTTTCCAGAAAAAAAACCGTCCAGTGGTTAAAGGGGTTGTGTCTGCAGAACTCTACCCTACTTACAAGGCCTGTGAAATGATGATGGCTGGAGTGGGCTATTCAAGTTTGCAGATTGAAGAATGCTAGGGAGTTATCATTTTTTGATTTTTGGTAGGGCCTTCAGTCCCATTTTCTTGGCTAAAGCTGGCTGTTATTCCTTTCATTCCTGCATCAGGAAAATGCCATTCCAAGTAGGAAGGTGTGTCCTTGTTTACACACCTTGTTAGGTGTGTACTTGGTACTTGTTGGCAACGTCTGTCTGTCACTGCTTTGCATGTTCTTGATGCTGGCAGCAGTGACATCTGTTTGTTCAGAAGAAACTAAATTTAAAGCTTCATATTCTCTGGCCCTTTCTTTCAAATATACCAAATCCTATATTTGTTCTGTGCCCATTGATGTGAGACTCGGGTGCCTTTCAGATGGAGGAGAAATAATGGGCCCAGTGATTGAGAGACCTGCGTTCAAGTTCCTACTCTGTCTGACTTTGGGCAAATCATTTAGAGCAGTGGCTCCCAACCTCGGGTCGTGACCCAAATCAGGGTCGCGGGGAGTCCATCCCTCACTCCGTCCCTCCTGCCTGCGGGACTCCCCCGGCGCATGGTCCACGCAGCCCTCACCACCACTGCCCCCTGCCATCCCGGCTTGGCCAGGGCTCTGATGGTGCTGCCAAGCATGACTGAGTCGGCACGTGGTCACAACCCAGATTTAGGGTTGCAGCAAAAAAGGTTGGGGGACACTGATTTAGAGGCTTCATGCCTTTAGTTTCTCAATCGGGATAATAGTCCAAGGATAAATAACATGGAGATGTTCTAGGTGCTTAGATATTTGGGGAATTGGGGCCATGTATGTATATTATGAGAAGATTCTACTTTCCTTTTGCAGAGAAGTGGGGTGAAGGGAAGAAAACCCTTTTATTCTTTCTTCAGGTAGTCAAATGGTATTTCACCTTTTTAATGAGATTGTTCTTAGTTCTCCACAAGTAGCAAAAGAAAATGATGTTGGAGCTTGTTCTCAGCTGTAGAGACCTTTCTTCTGAAGTAGCAATGATCAGAAACAGAAGAGGTCTGTTCTTATTTGGGTGGATGTGCGGACACACTGGAAGCAGGCAATGGAAAAATACCGAGTTTAAGCTATGGTGGGCATAATCAAAAGGTTTTGATTCCAACACTGTCCTTTTAGTTGCATTAGAAGTGTAGAGAAACATTGATAAGTTAAGTGGTCTGTCTCTCCCAGCCAAAATCCCTTTAATATATTTTGCAGTCTGGCTTCCATTTTAGCTGGAGAAAATATAATTGGACTAAGCTCACTGTACTTACCCTCCTTTGAATAATTAATATTAAAAATGTTCCTCTTGTAGTTACCATTCAGTTGTCATTCGAAGCAGGACCATCAGATTCTTGACCACAGACAGTATTGTTTTGATCTCTACAAGCTTGTTTCCTATGGCCAAGATGAACTTGGTTTTAACTTCCAGAAATGGTAAAATTTACCTCTGGGTGAAATGTATGGAAGGTCTTCAGTGCAGAACTTAGCTGAGTTAGTAAGTCCAGTTGCAACAGTCCAGCAGATTCTTTTAAGAGAAGAGAACATACAAAAAAGGGCTAAAGGTAAAAGGCCTGAGGCATCCTGCCTGTGCAAGTCATTTCTGTGGATGGCTGTGCAAGCTGATTAGTGATCTGGTCAAATGACTCTTCAAGC